ATGCCTTATCCAAAGTCACTATGCTATCCCATATCAACCCCGAAGCGTCGCTTATTTTGTGCACAGATGCCTCCCAAGTAGCTGTAGGGGCAGTATTACAACAAAAGATGAAGGGCGAAGTCACCCCACTCGCATTCTTTTCTAAGAAGTTGGAACCGGCTCAGACACGATACAGCACTTTTGGGAGAGAATTGCTGGCCATATATCTTGCAGTGAAGCATTTCAGTTACTTACTACAGGGCCGGCATTTCACTATTTTTACTGACCACAAGCCCCTGTGTCATGCTTTCACTACTTCACTCGATAAACACTCCCCTAGAGAAGCCAGACAGTTGGATTATATCTCCCAATTTTCAACCGACATCCAGTACATCAAAGGGGATGCGAACGTGGTAGCCGATTCTCTTTCAAGAAGTGACATTAACCAGCTCCAAACGTCGGTAGACATCAGTCTTGATCGTATGGCTCAATTACAAAGAGATGACGTTGAACTCCAAACCTGCCGCAGAAACTCTTCCTTACAGCTCAAAGATGTGCCTATCCCCTTATCAGATGCAACCATAGTCTGCGATGTATCTACCGGCACTAATCGTCCATTTGTCCCTCTCAGTTGCCGAAAAGCATTGTTCGAACATTTACATTCGCTTTCTCACCCTGGAGTACGCGCCACGGTCAGACTGATCAGCGAACGCTTCGTGTGGCCTAAAATGAACTCTGACATTCGGAGATGGGCACGAGAATGTATCCAATGCCAATGCTCCAAAGTACACCGCCACACTATTACAACCCCGAAGACGTTTGAATTACCCGAAAGGAGATTTCAGCATATCCATATAGATATCGTGGGACCATTGCCAACATCAAGGGGATATACACATATCCTGACAGCGATTGATAGATTTACTCGTTGGGCTATTGCATGCCCCTTAAACGACATATCTGCTGAAAACGTTGCTTTAGTTTTTCTCGACCGTTGGGTGTCAAACTACGGTGTACCAACTACTATTACATCCGACCGCGGTCCTCAATTCCAATCGACACTCTTTCGCGAACTGACGAGACTTCTGGGAGTGAAACATATCTCCACAACAGCCTATCATCCGGCAGCGAATGGTCTAGTGGAAAGATTCCACAGACAACTGAAAAGCTCCCTGATGGCGCAGAATGATACATCTAAGTGGAGTGAATACTTACCTTTGATTTTACTTGGTATCCGATCTACTATCAAAGAAGATTTAGGATGTACACCGGCTCAACTTGTCTATGGCACCAACCTAACCTTGCCTGGACAGCTAGTCCCCTCAGCCGATTCCACAGACGTGAACATTGCCGACTTCACTAACCGATTAACTAGACAAATGCTTCAACTTCAACCAACAGCACCTCGACAATCTCCCCGACGAGATCAGATCAACAAACATCTACAAACTTGCAAATTCGTCTTCATTCGAGTCGACGCCATCAGAAAAGGATTGCAACCTCCATACGAAGGACCCTTTCAAGTTATTAAACGTTCAGACAAACACTTTACAGTGAACAAGAATGGAAAACGAGAGACTATTTCCATTGATCGAATCAAACCCGCATACACCGACAACGACTTCGAATCTACATCGGCAGCTGCGCAATCAAATAATCAAACATCCGATTCCACTCCACCGGCACCAAGTCTTATCCTCCCTCCATATCAAACACGTAGTGGTCGGCAAATCAGTAAACCGGCTCGCTACGTTCATTTTGAGGACTAAAAAAAAAAATATATAATTACAAATTATTATTATCTTTTTCGTTTAGACATTATCATCATGACCGTTAGTATTTCGTCGTAAACTTTGATGTTACTATCACTATTATTTATTTATATGTACCTCACCTACAAAACAGGTATCGTCCATTTCAAAAACTATTGATCTTTAATCCATATTTTTTAATGTTTCTTTCCCCTCCTTAATTACTGTGTATTTACATATTTTTCTTTATACATTAAAAATCTATGTTCATGGTTAGTGCAAATTTAAGTGACATGACTTTCTATTTCAATTTTTATTGCTGAACCAATTGTATATGCTTTCAGACTTTACATGATTCACATACCTTCTCGCGTTTATGCATGTTGTAATATATCCCTATTTTTATCCAAAAATTGTTATTACTATTATTATTTACTTCACAGTTTTACTTATCATTTTCCGGTTGTCTCTCCGGACCTCTAGGGGGAGAGCCGTGTGGAGTACGTAACAATGTGATTGTACACTTTTTGGTTATTTGTATAAATTCGAGATATTGTACATAATTTTTGTTTAAAACGCTTCTTGTTGAAATATACATAACTTCCGTGTACAATTGAAAAATACACTCTGCTGTTGGAGACTTCGTCTTCTCCCTGGTCACTTCTGCTTACTTGCTCCACTCACACCGTGTTGTATACTTCGGATTTATTGTAGGAGTCTACTACTCTCAACCGAAGACATTTCTACAACCGGAACACAGCAGCTACAGCAGACGCAGTCCAAACAATTAACGTGCCCGTGGATTATATAAATAATTTGTAGCAGAGGACTTAGACTTTATATCCAAGTAATCCTTTTTGTTGATAGAACTCGTCACTGCATTTTTGGTAATATATCGTGATTTAACACTCCATTGACTTGGATTATTATTTTTATATTTGGAATGTTAGTGAACTCTAAAATTAGTCCCCTATAAAGATATGTTTATCACAGGGAGGCTTGTGTACTTGGATAATAATAATAATAATAATAATCACTTTATTCCAAACAACACTAATGAGACAGAATGGGATTTTCAGCGTTATAGCCTACCGTCATTAGAATCCAAGAGCTTCATTTTACAAGACTAGCTCGTGGACCATTCAGCCACCTGCGCCCGACCCGATGGCCCATGAATACCAACTTCTATAAATTTGTGATTTCAGCGAGACCAACAACCAATGTCATCAACTGACCTAAAGGCAAACTAACTAACTAACTAACTCTTAGGAATCTATCACCATTACATTGTTAAATTACACTATTGCATTAAAGTCGATACGCAAACTACAGTAAAGTCATAGATGAGGACCTAATTGAAAACGAAGTGTCTTCGCCTAATCCTTTTGTCTATTCAATGTCTGAATAAGGAGGAATTAGTATGGTGGAGTTAGTTTTTAATGTCTGGATCCAATACATAAAACGAACTCATTATCATTACTATTTTTTATACTGATAGAGGAGGAGGACAGAGGACTAGACATATCACATAGGTCACTAGTGTTCAGTCAAACTATTTTCAATCCCTCAAATTTTAATATCACAGGAAAATAATGGTGAAAATGAGTTTAGAATCTGAAGTAAATTGTATTAAAGGATAGTAAAGGACATAGAGTGATGTCTTATGCTCAGGGTTTCCAAACTCATCGTAAACTACCCGCTGGGTGGTCTTAGTTTCAGACTAAAATGTGCACAGAAATTGTTACCTAGATAGATAACCAACCAACTAGGCAACAGAAAACCAGCACACGAAGAACGCCTAATTATATCACAACTGTATGAAGTGTATTCGGTAACCACAACTCTAGAAAATATTTGGTGTAATCATCAAACACCTAAGGCGCAAACAGTGGATTTCGCATTAACTGCTCTCGCCAAGCTTAAATACCAAATTAGAGACAAATCTCTAATGCCTTCGAGTCTAACTAAATTCAATCGAAAATTCCACGTCGCTATGCAAAATATAAAAACGATCAATACTCTCACGCTATTGGTCAGTATAATGCCATTCTTTCATCTCTCATTGGCTAAGAATGTTCTGGTCAAGGTTATAGAAATTTCCAGTATTTTCTACGCTAAACAGTATTTATTATAACTGACAGTCTTGCCTAACATCCTTAATTGAGTGCTACATTCGCAGATTTCGCCAGATACCTACGTGCCTACCTACTCGCCTGTGTTTAAAGCCTCAATTCTACTGTGACCTACACAAGAATGCCAAACGCAATTGGAATTGATCTTGGTACTACATATTCATGTGTTGGTGTTTTCCAGCATGGGAAGGTGGAGATCATTGCCAACGACCAAGGGAACCGAACGACGCCGAGTTATGTTGCGTTCACAGACACCGAACGCTTGATTGGTGATGCTGCTAAGAACCAGGTGGCGATCAACCCAACCAACACAGTGTTCGACGCGAAACGATTGATCGGTCGACGATTTGATGACCCATCAGTTCAGAGTGATATGAAACACTGGCCTTTCGAGGTGATTAACGAGGCTAGTAAGCCTAAGATCCGTGTTGAGTACAAGGGTGAGATGAAGACATTCTTCCCTGAGGAGATCTCATCGATGGTGTTGACGAAGATGCTTCCAAAGCCTCAGGATGGTCGGGGGTGGGTGCCTTGCGCTGCGAGTTGGCCACCCCTCCGCACACCTCTTGAAATGCTCCCATATGACCGGGCGTCTTACATAGCCTCTCCTGAGGAAGTCCTACTCACTGCCTTCACGTGGCGGAGGTGTTTCTCACCAAAGTGAGAGGGCGAAAGCGGATGCCCGGCGCTCTCCACCGGGTTGACTGTCCATTGGATGACGGTCTAGGGGAGATGGCTAAACCCTGATTCCAAACCTCCAACGACTGGCGTATGAAGCTCACTGGAGCTCACCGGCAGACGTATGGACAAAGGGCTTGTTGGATGTCCTGGATGTCTGGCCCCATTCAAAAAGGCGTATAAACCGAACTCCGGTCACCGGCTCCCAATGGATAGTGGACTCCTTACTCCACTCCTACTGCCTTGTAGGTCACACTTGGCTGTGTAAAGGCTAGAGCTGCACTCTCAAACAAAAGGCCGAGCGATGCTGGACACATCACTCGTACCAAATTCCCATGAAACTTCATGAACTCTCTTACAAATTGCCGCGCCTCGGCAGCGATGATTCGAGACGTTCATGAAGCCGGCTCATCCTCCCGTAGGAGATAGCCGAAGTAAAGTAAGTAAAAAGTTGACGAAGATGAAGGAGGTGGCTGAAGCGTATTTGGGTAAGACGGTGACTGATGCAGTGGTGACAGTTCCTGCCTACTTCAACGACAGTCAACGTCAAGCTACTAAGGATGCTGGTACGATCGCTGGTCTGAATGTGTTGAGAATTATCAACGAGCCTACTGCTGCTGCTATCGCGTATGGTCTGGACAAGAAGGTTGGTGGTGAGCGTAATGTGTTGATATTCGATTTGGGTGGTGGTACTTTCGATGTGTCTATCTTGACAATTGAAGATGGTATATTCGAGGTGAAGTCTACTGCTGGTGACACTCACTTGGGAGGTGAGGACTTTGACAACCGTTTGGTGAATCACTTTGTGCAAGAGTTCAAGCGTAAGCACAAGAAGGATATAAGTGACAATAAGCGTGCAGTTCGTCGTTTGAGAACAGCTTGTGAACGTGCTAAGCGTACACTGAGTTCAAGTACACAGGCGAACTTGGAGATTGACTCGTTGTGTGATGGTATTGACTTCTACACAGTGATCACTCGTGCTCGATTTGAGGAGTTGAATGCAGACTTGTTCCGTGGTACTTTGGAGCCGGTTGAGAAGGCTTTGAGAGACGCTAAGATGGACAAGTCTCAGGTGCATGAGATTGTGTTGGTTGGTGGTTCAACACGTATTCCTAAGATCCAGAAGATGCTTCAGGACTTTTTCAACGGTAAGGAGTTGAACAAGTCTATTAATCCTGATGAGGCTGTTGCTTATGGTGCAGCTGTGCAGGCGGCTATTCTGAGTGGTGATAAGTCTGAGGCAGTGCAAGACTTGTTGTTGCTGGATGTGGCGCCATTGTCACTGGGTCTTGAGACAGCTGGTGGTGTTATGACAGCATTGATTAAGCGTAACACGACGATCCCAACGAAGCAGACTCAGACGTTCACGACGTACTCGGACAACCAGCCAGGTGTGCTTATTCAAGTGTACGAGGGAGAACGTGCTTTGACGAAAGACAACAATTTGCTTGGTAAATTCGAGTTGTCTGGTATTCCGCCTGCTCCTCGTGGTGTTCCTCAGATTGAGGTGACATTCGACATTGACGCCAATGGTATTCTGAATGTGTCGGCTGTGGACAAGAGTACTGGTAAGCAGAACAAGATAACTATCACGAATGACAAGGGTCGTTTGTCCAAAGACGATATTGAGCGTATGGTGAATGAAGCTGAGAAGTTCAAGGCTGAGGATGAGAAGCAGAGAGACCGTGTGGCTGCGAAGAACTCACTTGAGAGTTATGTGTACGCGATGAAGCAACGAGTGGAGGGTGATGAGTTGAAGGACAAGATATCTGATAGTGATCGTAAGACGATATTGAGCAAGTGTGAAGAGACGATTCAATGGCTAGACCAGAATCAGCAAGCAGAGAAGGATGAGTATGACTACCACCAGAAGGAGTTGGAGAAGATATGTGCGCCGATAATCACGAAGATGTACCAAGCAGCAGGTGGCGGTGGTATGCCTGGAGGCATGCCAGGCGGTTTCCCAGGTGCAGGTGGTGCTGGCAGTGGTGGTGGAAAGGGACCAACAATCGAGGAGGTCGACTAATTCGGTAACATTGGACTGTGTTATTTTCTTGTTTTATTTTCATACGATTTTCATGCATCAGATTATCTATATTTAAATATACTCCATTATTTCCACATTGATATGAGATGTGTTTTCTTTTCCTTGCGTTTTCACGTGTTTGCGAAGTAGACGGTTGTTGTTACTGTTGTCGTTGTTGTGGTTTAACGATATGTAGTTGGTGTTTTCGCACTATGTGGTAGATTGGTATGCGTTATCTTAGTGTAGGCCGTTAGGATGTGGTAGTGGGAGAGTGGGCTCTGTCGTTGGGTAGCAGCTGTGGTCGGGCTCGATCGTTTGAAGAGTTCCTTGGGAGTCGTTGTGAAGTGCGTTTTGTGGCTGTGTTTGGAGAACAGTTATAGCGAAATTTGCCGAGAATATTATTCGCCATATGTTAGAAGCCACATATCTTAATTCATCTGGACCAAGTTCCGGCGACCTTAGGCACATTTGTTATGGTATTGAAGGATACTAACTACTAGATGACAGGAATTATTTGGGAAATGGGAAGCGCCAACGGTTTTGTGAAACTATCACAGCTAATGTAGCATCACTGGGCTTAATGTGGCATTGTGTTGTGTGGGGTTGGTGCAGGATGTGTCGATTGCTCTCATTGTCTCTACATGAATTACGTGATTGCAGGACATAGCGTAATGTTTCCAACCTCGGGTAATGTTGTGTATCGACTTATTGTTTACGATCGTGTGAACCAAGTAGTAGTCGTACTGATATTAGTTCTTCTGACGTAGCTGTAGCTCATTCCATAGGTAACTGGTCATCCGCTCCAAGAACATCAAATGGATGCCCTCCGCTATGTTGTGTTTCACCAAAGCACGGTAATTTGTGAAGTTTTCACATATTTGCCTACATTTCTAATAGTAATAGTGTCTTGTGGCTAATTGGACTAAGCATTCGATTCTTGTAACTGCATTAGACCCACAACCTTATCTTATTACTTTAGAACTTCATTTAATTCCACAGTCGTGTGATAACTACCTTAGGAATTGACTTGTTACTACGCAACAGTCACATCGACTTAGACGTGTGTACTGCGAATCAGTTCATTCTGTCCTTTTTTATGACTGAGGGACATGGCTATTGAGAGTGGAAGACCTGGTGAGGCTAGTTGTCTTCGATCATGGATGTTTGTATTCTATTTCCTAGTTAAGTGGTATAGTATGACGAGCAGTATTGAGGTTAGGCGTGGAGTATAAGATAACGAAAGGAAGTCAGTCAATGAGATTGCAAAGCTGCATTCATAAAGATGACTATGACATATATTACGCCTGCCAATCCTCCGGCTTATTTGACGAGTAATGTTAACTGACATGATTAGGCTGAAAAGGGTTAGTAGTGGTTAGACCAGAACTCGGCGTCAATCCATGGAGTAATTGACTGTTCATTTGGCATTGAGCCAGCCAAGTAGAGGAGTGCAGACCACGTGGTTGGGGTGTTTGGGATTCTAAGAACCAGTGGCTTGAGACTGTTGGCGATATGGCTGAAGACTGATCCTAGTGACACAAGCGCTTTCACTCTTTGTAACCTCGCGGATCTATTAAGTCCTCGTGTTTTCCAATGTTACCATTCCTTATCATGTATATTTCTCTTCATCATATTTCTTCTAAGGTTTCTTTTCTGTACATTTGTGTCCTATATCGAGTGTGATGAATTGAACTGCTGCACTTTTGTGCAATGTTCTACTTTGAAATTCAGTCAGACATTCATGCCCTACATAGGAACTTATTCATCAGGTGCTTGGCTGCCATTTTAACAATCTACTTTTTATCACAGTTACAACCTAAAGTGACTTATTTGCAAAACATGTTCTTCACTCATGTTGAAGTTAATGTTATCAGTGTATAACAGACTTTAAAGTAGACAATCTCAAAATATGGTTGCAGAAACACTTCCATAGAGTTAGGCGGTTGTTAAAATTTTTAATTAAGTTTTGATTTTCCCGTTGATTGATTAGACTGAAAAGTTCATACTGTTGAGATATTGGCTTCTAGTATGCACACCTCGATGGTATTTGAGGATTAACTTGAAGTAATTCTGGTAGATAGTGACTAGCAGTGAAATCCAGGATGCACATTCCATCCCATTTGAGACACGTCAGCTTGATATATCCGGAACTCGGACACATTAACCGTCTTTTCAAACGTTAAGGCGTTGTCCACTAGACCATTTAATCTCAGTGGGGACTGCATCATTCACAGGGAATCCAGGTCTATCCGAGTGAAGAGTCCCGAATGGGAAGAAATGCATTGCCTGGATTCCATTGCCAGTCACCATCCACCAAAAATACTTCAAATTGTTCAGATTATCTTTCGGAAGTGTTCAACTAACAGAGAAGATCCTGCAAATGAAGTAGCAGTCGTAGATGTACCTACTTCATATATTTGCGTTCAAGATGGAGCTGAGGCGTGTGCTACTGACAAGATTCATCAGTAGTATATGAGAGACGTTCATCAGCATAGAAATGTCAAATAGCGGAGTGGTAGGCTTGACGTCAAGAAGAGCGAATGAACCAGTGTGGCAGCAAAAAATTTTTTTAATTTTTTTTGATTCACATGTTGATTCCACACTGTATTTTCGGTACAAGTATGGATTTTTCAGCATGGAAGACAAAGAAACACAATACGAACGATAGAAGTAGAAGAACATGGGAGGTATGTGCAAACAACGGTTTTCGTATAAGTTGTACATAATTTTCATATATAGAGATATCAAATTCCAAGTAAAAATTCCGTTACCAAGTCTCTTGTCTTCTGTCGTTACAAAGTTACATAAAAAAAGGACTGCAGCTAAAACAGCGATGTCTGTACATTTTATGGTCTAATTGTAGAGGACTAATATTAGAGGTCACTAACATTATAAATATAAAAGTAATAATCCAAGTCAATGGAGTGTTAAATCACGATATATTACCAAAAATGCAGTGACGAGTTCTATCAACAAAAAGGATTACTTGGATATAAAGTCTAAGTCATCTGCTACAAATTATTTATATAATCCACGGGCACGTTAATTGTTTGGACTGCGTATGCTGTAGCTGCTGTGTTCCGGTTGTAGAAATGTCTTCGGTTGAGAGTAGTAGACTCCTACAATAAATCCGAAGTATACAACACGGTGTGAGTCGAGCAAGTAAGCAGAAGTGACCAGGGAGAAGACGAAGTCTCCAACAGCAGAGTGTATTTTTCAATTGTACACGGAAGTTATGTATATTTCAACAAGAAGCGTTTTAAACAAAAATTATGTACAATATCTCGAATTTATACAAATAACCAAAAAGTGTACAATCACATTGTTACGTACTCCACACGGCTCTCCCCCTAGAGGTCCGGAGAGACCACCGGAAAATGTTAAGTAAAACTGTGAAGTAAATAATAATAGTAATAACAATTTTTGAATAAAAATAGGGATATATTACAACATGCATAAACGCGAGAAGGTATGTGAATCATGTAAAGTCTGAAAGCATATACAATTGGTTCAGCAATAAAAATTGAAATAGAAAGTCATGTCACTTAAATTTGCACTAACCATGAACATAGATTTTTAATGTATAAAGAAAAATATGTAAATACACAGTAATTAAGGAGGGGAAAGAAAACATTAAAAAATATGGATTAAAGATCAATAGTTTCTGAAATGGACGATACCTGTTTTGTAGGTGAGGTACATATAAATAAATAATAGTGATAGTAACATCAAAGTTTACGACGAAATACTAACGGTCATGATAATAATGTCTAAACGAAAAAGATAATAATAATTTGTAATTATATATTTTTTATTAGTCCTCAAAATGAACGTAGCGAGCCGGTTTACTGATTTGCCGACCACTACGTGTTTGATATGGAGGGAGGATAAGACTTGGTGCCGGTGGAGTGGAATCGGATGTTTGATTATTTGATTGCGCAGCTGCCGATGTAGATTCGAAGTCGTTGTCGGTGTATGCGGGTTTGATTCGATCAATGGAAATAGTCTCTCGTTTTCCATTCTTGTTCACTGTAAAGTGTTTGTCTGAACGTTTAATAACTTGAAAGGGTCCTTCGTATGGAGGTTGCAATCCTTTTCTGATGGCGTCGACTCGAATGAAGACGAATTTGCAAGTTTGTAGATGTTTGTTGATCTGATCTCGTCGGGGAGATTGTCGAGGTGCTGTTGGTTGAAGTTGAAGCATTTGTCTAGTTAATCGGTTAGTGAAGTCGGCAATGTTCACGTCTGTGGAATCGGCTGAGGGGACTAGCTGTCCAGGCAAGGTTAGGTTGGTGCCATAGACAAGTTGAGCCGGTGTACATCCTAAATCTTCTTTGATAGTAGATCGGATACCAAGTAAAATCAAAGGTAAGTATTCACTCCACTTAGATGTATCATTCTGCGCCATCAGGGAGCTTTTCAGTTGTCTGTGGAATCTTTCCACTAGACCATTCGCTGCCGGATGATAGGCTGTTGTGGAGATATGTTTCACTCCCAGAAGTCTCGTCAGTTCGCGAAAGAGTGTCGATTGGAATTGAGGACCGCGGTCGGATGTAATAGTAGTTGGTACACCGTAGTTTGACACCCAACGGTCGAGAAAAACTAAAGCAACGTTTTCAGCAGATATGTCGTTTAAGGGGCATGCAATAGCCCAACGAGTAAATCTATCAATCGCTGTCAGGATATGTGTATATCCTCTTGATGTTGGCAATGGTCCCACGATATCTATATGGATATGCTGAAATCTCCTTTCGGGTAATTCAAACGTCTTCGGGGTTGTAATAGTGTGGCGGTGTACTTTGGAGCATTGGCATTGGAGACATTCTCGTGCCCATCTCCGAATGTCAGAGTTCATTTTAGGCCACACGAAGCGTTCGCTGATCAGTCTGACCGTGGCGCGTACTCCAGGGTGAGAAAGCGAATGTAAATGTTCGAACAATGCTTTTCGGCAACTGAGAGGGACAAATGGACGATTAGTGCCGGTAGATACATCGCAGACT